ACGTTTTTTTTAAGGAGTGTAATCTTCGGTATATCCACTGTTTTGTTCTTTTTTCATTATATGGTTTGCCCAAAAGAGACGTGTTGTTTTTTCTTACTTTCTTTTTGCCCAGCTATAGTTCGCTGGGATGAACCCTCCACTCTCCGGTGGTAAGAACCACTATAGTGGGTGCTAAGGCTCACCATATGTTTGCAAGACATAAGCTTTTCTCACTTTGTCATGTGTCAATTTGTGAAACTAAAGATATAGCTAGACGTCCTTGAAGTGGTTGATTAACTTTGTTACATCTCACTTTGCTCCGGGACTTTAGTACATAGTAGTAGTTTATTCAGATATCACAGCCAATTCAAAGAGAATCTAATATAAGAAAACTAAACAATAGAAGGTGGATATAATAAAAAGGTAAAAGAATATGTCACTCTCTGTTGCAAATACTTAAATACAATTTGGAAATGATATTGGAAACAAATAATAAATATACTAATGTATAGTGTAACCTAGTACTGATCAAACTGGCCGCTAGATTATCTTAATATAAAAGAGGAATCAAAACCAAAATAATAAATCTGTAGATTTCTTGCAAGTCACGGTCACCGCTCGTGCGCACTGGAAATAGCTATTATAGCGATAAATCAGATTGTAGATGCCTTTGTTGCACAATATGGCGTTCTAAAACACTCAAATGGCGAGAGCGATAGTTTTTACAGCTAAATATAGCAAGACAGCCCTGAGGTCCACTTTACTTTGAACGTTGCGCACCACACATTCCACCGATTCACAATGTTTCTACGCCCTGCTTCTTCATAACTGTGTGCCCTCCATTCCCAGAAACTACCTAACTAGCTAATGTTGTAAAGGGTCCCATATCTGGACTGTAAGCACAATCCTACATAACGTTCTAGAATGAAATACATGTTGGTGCTAGAGTCTTGCATTTTGGAAGTTCCAACATCTATGGCCTGAGTTGAAAGATCCCTCAACTTGAACTCCTGCCTCGGCTGCTCTTCTCCTCAATGCCTGATTGAGAAAATCTCGCTCTCAAAACTTCCATAACTTCTGCCATCTTCACGTCTTGCGCTGCAAGCAGCACCATCGAATGGTACAAGACGTCGGCCATTTCTGATACAGTCCTTTTCCTGCCTTCGTTTTCTTCCACTGTCTTGCACAGCTCACCCGCCTCCTCCCTGCCAAAGTTTCTAGTCAAGCGCGAGAGGCATGAAAGCAGAGCACACCTTATCTTGGAGCAAAGCAGCTTCTGGTCCTGCAAAAGCCGCTTCGTCCACGACGGCTTTTTCCCATCGGGCTCTGACTTCCGCTGTTGAATAACTCTTTCCAAATCGTACAAGGTAGAAGTTGCCAATCCATTCTCTCCGATCTGTAAAAAAACCTATCAGTGG